TATCACAAAAATAATAAATGTTAACGAAATAATTTATTTTATTTTTAAAAAAAAGCGAGTTAGACGCCTTTTTTTAAGACATACGTTTAACGTATCTTTACTTTTTTCGATATCTGTTTGAGCTATTCGATATGTCTATAATATAGTTCTCGAAACGAGTTTTGAGATGATATTAGTGATTTGTAGATTCGACTACCGTACGATCGTCAGAGAATTTTTAAAATTAGCATGTTATCGAAATTCAAATTTATTGTGATTTTGCCCCTATTTGGTGGAGATTAAAATCAAATTTTTAGTAAATTTTGATAAAAGTTAAACAGTTATGGATTCCATNTACTTTGACAAGTCGTAACATTTTCTACGATTGATCGTTTAGCACGCCATTAACGACATAAAAAACTAGACTGTGAGCATTTAGAAATGGTATCAAGGATAAAATATTTCAATTTCTTTCACATCTTATAATGATTTTGAAAATTGAAACAAAACATAGAAATGGCACCATGTTGCGGAGTTTGTTTATTTGATGATCCTATTCGAAGTTCTGGATGATTGCCATCTGATTGGCCAAAATCAGATGGTTGAATAAAGTTAGCTGAAATTTAGTGGATTACAAGGTGAATCATAGATTAATGTTCATTAAGGTTGGGCCAAAATTTGATTTCCTTCGTCTAGAAATTTCACATATAACCGTTAAGTCTCCACTTCTGAATGCTTTGTTCAAATGTTTGTTCTATGCCGATTATAGTAATCGGGGTTCTATATGCACTGCTAAAACGGATAATTCTACCTGGACTAAGGCAGTGCAGATCAATCTGAACAATGTTTTTAATGCCCTGGAGTTAAACGTGAATCTTCACAATGGTTTTTACACAGCTATGGCAGGAGAAAGGTCTGACAGGATTTATGGCCTTATTCAATGTAGAGGCGACGTTTCAACATCAAATTTTGCCAATTGCACGCGGGAGTCATTCAAGGTGACATCAAAGTGATGTGACAAAAGAAAAAAGTGCAAAAATATGGCAAAAGGGCTGGCAATGATGGATGAGACTGATGTGGATGATCCATTATTCATAGAAAATCAAGATTGACATATCAAACAAATCAATCTAAAATCATCTTTAGATCAACATCAGATGGTTGAGAATCAATTCAAGAAATTGGAAACAAAATCAATTTTCAGATTTCAGTTGCTCGAAATGAGTTGGTCGAGATGATGATCCTAAAATGGGCAAGTTTATTAACTCAAAGTTTATTTATTGACTTTTTTCATGAAGAAATGAAAATTTATTTTTATTTTTTTGTTGCACTAAACATTTATTTTTAGTTTATTATTTTTTTTTTAAAGAAGCCATGTTTTTTTATATTATTGGCCTTGAAAATTTGAAATAAAGGCCTTCTTAAGGAAAATTACCCTTTCTGCTATTGTTTAATCCTAATTTCACTAATGATGATGATGATGAACAATCAGAATAAATTAGTTCAATCTAGCCCTGTCCAACCTTCAGGCACACTCCAAACAACAGGAAAGATGAGATTGAAAGACAAGAACCATAAAGAAAAACAGGTGTCGTCAAGGTGGAATCAAAGGAGTAATGGCAATCCATGTTAAATCATTACCGGATTTCAGTATAAGAATTTGTTTTTGTTGTTTTTTACGTAAATATTGAATTATCTAATTTGATGTTGGCATATCTGCATATTCATAATGAATGAAGGTTAAGGCACCGTTTGGTAACCATTATTTTAGAAAATAATGCATTCTTTGTGTCAAATCACACATTTTTTGTGGTTGAAAATGAAGGAAAAGTTATTGATGTGATGGAAAATATTATTTTATTGATGAATGTATGGTTGAAAATTAGTAGAAGAATGAGAATGAAAAAANTGGATACCAAACAGAGGCTAAGTTTTCAGTGCAAGTAGTATTAAGGAAAAAAAAAAAAAGAAGCAAAACGGGTTCTTCCTAAAAAGACAAAAATTGATGCTGACAATAAGATTAATATTTTTAATTACCAGGGATGTAGATGTTTAAATACTCATTCAACTAACTACTGTATTTATGAATTTCAACTGCCTTTCCAAATGATAATCTCTACATTCAGATCAGGGGCGGAGCTAGCATCCGACGAGCCATAGCGACTGCTCGTGTTGGTTTCGTTGGATTTTTGATTTTCCATATGTTGAGAGGCCGCTCCTAGTTTATGAAGATTCTTATCCGAAGAATATCAATGAAAATCACGCGGTTAAAAATTTAATTTGATTTTGACCATTACTTTCATATCTGCAATAGTGCAAAAAGAAGGTCTGGCTCCAAGTTGTTCAAGAATAGTGGTGTTGAATTTCTCGATCCTTTGACTTAGGATTAGCAGCGCCTCATCAACGAGAAAAAGCATGGGAAGCGGAGCCAATGAGCACTGGGAGTGGGAGACATTTTGAGGGATGCATGCTTTACTTGGTTTGGGGGGATATTGCTCAGTTAGTAGAGCTCCACCCTTGAAATTAGGTCGTTATGATTATGAGTTAGATCCATCAAAGCTCACTCGAATTCTTGGATCCATCACCGATTCAGATACTTAAACAGCAGTTAATATATTGAGCCAGTTGACGTTGACGTTGACGTTGACTAAGGGGATTGCTTAGCAGAATGTTGTAGCTAATTGGTTAACTCAATGAATAACATCTATCTTTCATGTTTAGCTTTGCTTGCTAGTCAGGCATGACAAGAATAACACTAATATTGAGGCTGCATCGGGTTTTCTTTAAATTGACTTGTTCCACATAACAATAGCATTTTAAAATGTCAAAGAAGTCACTTAACATGGCCTCTTAAACCCCATGCTTTTCCCACTCGTGGTGCCCCTCCAGACCTCAACAGCTCCGAAACTTGTCATCAGAATGGTACTCAAAGCCATCACCGTCCCAACTGAGAACACAATGTAGGAGACCATCCCCTGTTTTTACTTACTTTTTTGTACTAATATTTGTCCAAGTAGTGAGGCGCCAAATCAAATGGCTGCAAGGATAAGGGCTTTAGTGATTGGCATAAGGAAATGTATCAGATCTAGCTGAGCAAAGAAATTTAGGGGTCATAAGCATATTTAACCAGAATACAGAAGATGAATACTTGAAGTTCTGTTAGAATAGAATTGCACTTATAAGCATACCACCACCAATCCTAGAAACATTGTCCAAAATCTCTGCTAGCAGTGCCATTGTTGGGAAGATTAACTCATCTGCCAATCCATTTCTTGTCTAACCTTCATTTTCCTTAATCAAGAAACTTGTTCAATTAGAGTCCTTAATAGACAAGCTACAAAATTACAAATTGACGCCAGATCACCAACATTTATACGCTGCCGTTACCTGATAAATGGTACCACTATTGTACAATTAAACCGAGAGGATCTCCCATTAGAGGAAATTGCCCAATCAAGAGTCTAATGGAGACTGACGTGTACTGTATGTCTTTAACAATGTGTGATAAAAATAGAAAAGAACCTCCACTTTCTGCTTCCAATAGGAGGCTCTGCTAGAGTCATTTGTGGGTTACAAGTTCAAAGCAGAGACAACGCCTTTATGGGGGTGTTTGACACCCATTCTTTTGAAGAATGAGTTTTTGAATAGTGATTGATGTAAAGAATGTGTGGTTAAAAAGTAAGAAGAATTTTTGGGTTTATGTGTAATATTATTTTATGTGGAGAATGTGTGGTTAGAAATGAGTACTGTACAAAAATGAGAATGAGAATTAGATAAAAAATGGGTGTCAAACGAGGTCTATATTGGAAACAAGAGTACATCAGGATCCTTTGTATAGATAGGTGGGGCAACAATTCCCCAATGGACTATTCAGTTCAGAAATATGATCGATGTCGGATAATTATAGGATAACTCATGCAAAGGTCATTAGTTAACAATTATTTAACGATTGCACGAAACATGATTGGAGCCCACAAAATTTGGTTTCCATTCTTGATTCTATGGTTTATTTGTAAGCTTACTTTTTAGATGTCAAACTAGAACCCTTCTATGTACTTTATTTATTTTAAATTTAATAAACTCGTACGACCACGAGTAGCTGTGTTTGAGCCACATTATTTTGGAAGAATGTATTCTGAAATAGTAGATTGATGAAAAATTTGTGATTGAAAAAGAATGAAAAGTTATTGATGTGATGGAAAATATTATTTTATTGAAAAATGTGTAGTTGAAAATGAGTAGAAGAATGAGAATGAAAATTTTAAAAATCTTGCTACAGGTACACGCCCGTNGAGAGGGGCTGTGGGCCCGTGTACCAGTAGCATAATCCAAATTTTAATGTGTATTAAATGGGGGCTTAACATTAAACCTTAAAAAAAACTAATTACTATACATTTTACGAGCTAACACTCCAAACCTGATTTTCCTAGTTAGGAATCCATTTAGAAGTTGGAACTGGGATTGCTGGAATGATGGTTGAGCATGTCCGATTTCTTAGAGAGTTCATTTTACCAGTGGTCACTAAAATAATTTTTGTTATTGAAGTTTATAACTATTCCATAAATAGTTTTTCAGTAAGAAAAATTAACATTAAATTTTATCTGTCCCTATTAAATACCAAAATGGAGTAATACAGCACCATGCAACACATTATTGTGTTTAAATAAGAAAAAGAAATCTCAAGAACGATATGTTCTGTATTTATGACCTTAAATAGTTTTTGACAAGTATTTTTTATTTTTTTAAATAAAAAACTCTACATATGAAATTTATTACAAACTTTTGTAAACATTTGTTAAATTAATACATTTTGTATATTTAGGGCTCCGTTTAACATGTCTTTTGAGAAGTCAAAAAGAGTTTTGATATTCTATTGTGCTTATGAATTTTGTATATTGATATAGTATAATGAACCGGAGACAATTATGTTTTGCTCTAGCTCCTTGTTAACTGTTAAATGTTTCTTTACATAGCTGAATGGAAAACAGCTACGATTAAGAAGTCTTCCTCATTGAGAATAATATATATCCAAAATTTCGGTTATTGGGGTTTCGAGGCACTCAAAGTAACCATTTGGTGACAACAATCACGTGCCATAATCATTAACATAATGTAACGTGACATTTTATCATTAGACTATTTAAATACAGTCAACTTTTCTATCAAATCATCTACTTTCACTACATTTGGTAAAATTCATTTGGCAAAGTGTTACACTGCACAAAGGCATATATATTAGTACTATTGGTCCCGTTTTTCACGAAAGGTGTCAAGGACTACAGCTTCAACTAGCCCATTGACCCACACATTGTGAATATTTTATTTCAATTGTAAAATAGATGTGATATTGAAAATGTTTAGTATGATTCCTCAGAATTTAAACGTCTACTCCTATCACTTAGGTTTTTGTTCGGAATGCTATTATAGGGGGTATTAGTCTTTCAAACAATCTTTCAAGCTTTCTAGTATTCGCCTCCTGCTCTAGCTATTATAATTTCCTGATTACATCAATTGTAATTTCTAATTTTCACGCAATCAATGATCAATTTAGTTTCAATGCATTTCAATTTCATGTTGCAAGCTTTCTGCAAATTGTAATCAAATTGTATTTCTGCAAAATTCTAGGCGGCAGATTACTTTTAAGCATTTAATGTGTAGGTCGATCTACTTTCGACTTACCGAACGTGTTGTTGCTTACTTCGACAACGATAGGACGGACTAAACGTCCTCCTTTATCTTCGCAACTCTCGAGTTAATGATGTTTTTCAACGTGCGGTTGGCAATGGGCAAGCCCCTGCACGAGAGCATGTTTCTAAGGTCAGAATTTCGGAACCGTGTACCTACGGAGGGGCATGCTATGCAAAAGAAGTCAAGAACTTCTTGTTTGATATGGAACAATACTTTCTTACGGATTCGATCGAAGATGAAGTAAGAAATGTTACAACATTTACCATGTATCTTGGTGGAGATGCAAACTATGGTGGTGAACAAAGTATGCTGACATTCAAGCCAA